CATACACCCAGGAAAAGTGGCTCAAGCCACACCACCCTGAGGCTGTCACTCCCCAGGAGTCCCTACCACCTGGCCTGACACCCATCAGGGCCACGTTCTTTGCTAACCTGCACAATACTGCGCTCCAACCTCAAGTGGAACAACTTTGGGGTGATTGGGATTCTTCAACCCATGCCATCCACACCAGTCCACCTGCTGGGCGCCCTCAAAGTTACCACCACCCGCAGCCTCAACCCGGACCCCAAGGCCAGGCTGCGAAGAGAGCCACAGCCTGCTCACCAGACACCTCGCTCCCCTGATCAGAGTCTAAGTCCTGCTGCCTCCTCTCATTTGCAATTTCCTGGTAGAGCTGCGCCTACTCGCCCTCTGCCCTGTCCACTGTCACCCAGGACTCTAGTACAGGCACCCCTCCTTCACCCACTGCCTCAGCCTCTTCCCACCGGGAGACTTCCCAGCCTGGCCAAACAGACCAGTCATAGGGAAAGCCTACTTCCCAGCCCGCAAGCACGGCCCCCCTAAGCTCCTCCCCTCTTCTCACTCAGAACTATTTCCCAGTTTGGGGAGCTGTCCCAGAGGCGGGTCAGGGACCAGCAGCCTGAGAAGAGCCTGCCTGGGAGGGGATGAACAGGCCAGGGGCTTCACCCTCTACCCCGGGATAACCTGCACCAAGACCTCTGTATTTACTCCTCACCCACCCTACCCTAAACTCCCACATCAGCCCAAACTTAAGCAGGCGCCCCAGCCCAGGGCCTGGCCCCTTCTTACTCCCCACGGTTTCCCTCTTACCCCTGTTTCCCGGCCTCTCAGGCCCCTAGCTCTAATCCCCCCAGGCATCAGGACGAGCATCGAGTGACCTCATGCTGATGACTCAGCAAGTCTCCTTCTGGGCTCTGGCAAGCGTGTGACGGAGCGAAGCCGGAGCGGGCAGGGTCTTCCCAGCCCCCCCTCCACGTGCCGCTTCCTCCCCCTAGCCAGCCGAGGACCCCGCGCCTGGGAGGCGTTGACACAGACACCTGATGAATCAGCAGCTCAGGCTGGGGCCGCCGAGCTCTTCCACGGAGCCCTGGGCGCCCCGCTCGACCCCACCCTTTCCTCCCGCCACCCCGGCCGTCCCTCCCTCCAGGACTCCCCGGCTTCACCGAGCAAGACCAGCGCACGCCCCACCCGCCCCTGCGGGACCGCGCGCCCACCCCAGTACCCCCGGCGAAGGGACCAGGAGCCGCTCCGGACCGGTGGGGAAATCGAGGCATGGGCCGCCAGCAGGGCACAGGGCAGACCCAAAGCCCGGAGCACTCGGACCACGCCGCCACAGGCCGCCGGAAGGAGCAGCGGCCCCGCGAGCACCCGCCCCCGGATCGGAGCACCCGCACGCCCCCCGCTCGGCCCTGGCCCCCGGCCCCGGCCCCGGCCCGGCCGCCGCCGCACTCACCCACCACACTGCGGGCCCGGCGGGCCGAGGCCGGGGCGGGGCGGGGCGGGCGCTCCGAGGCCGCGCGGGGCTGGCCGCGCGGGGGCTCCGGGCCCAGAGTGGGAGCTCGCCGCCTGCGCGGGCCGGGCCGAGCGCACTAGGAAGGCCGGGCCGCACCAGGCTTGGGGCTCCGGATCCTCCGCCGCCGCCGCCGCCGCCGCCGCCGCCGCAGCTCCACAGACGTCACATGATGTTTGGTCACGTGGGCTCCATTCATGAAGCGGCGACGCGACCGGCTGGGGCTTAAAGGGGAAGGCGCGGCGGTGGCGGCGGCGGCGGGAGGCGGGGCACGCCTGCACTGCGCCTGCGCGCCCGGGCGCCGTCGCCCGGGCAACGCAAGCCGCGCCTGGTGGGTGAGGTCTCGCGGGACTGGCCCGGGAGTGCGCTCCCGACCGGCCACGCCCCCTTCGAGGCGGGGCCTGGTGATCCTGCCCAAATGCTCTCCTGAGCCTTCTGTGTAGACGTTTCAAAGGCCACGTGTCCAGGGTGCAGGTGCGGAGGTCCCCACGCATTATGGAGAAGATTCTCATGGTGTTTCTGATGCCGTCTGTCAGACTGCATGCACTGCCTCCGTAACTGGAGCGGGTCTCATCCCTGCCAGGAACAGTGGCCTGGCACACAGGAGACCCATACGCTCCTGTAGGTGAAGGGCTTGTCCAGGATTCAAAACTTAGGTCTTCTCAAGGCCGCCTCCAAGATCCTCTGTGTAGTGGTCTGTCTTCACGCAACATCCCGAGAGCTCACATGAGTGACAAGGACTCAGGCGGTTCCTGGAACGAGTCCGGCTCAGGGTGAGTGTGGGGTAAACATCTGTTGAATTAATAGTTGATGTAGGAATTGCACGTTTCCTTTCCTGTTTCATCAACATCTGCCTGGAACTCAGGTCACTGGTCCATGTCTGCTCCTGCACTTTCTGTAAGGAGTTCTCACTGCTGTTCAAAATTCCCAGAGAAAGAGGTGACGAAAGGAAGAAGAGAAATTGAAGGGATCCAATTTCTACGTTGATTTACCTTCTCAAGTGTAAAGCCAGGAAGGGTGACCTACCCTGCCAGGCAGGTCAGTAGAAATCAGGTGAGCTGAAAGAGGGATGAGTGAGGGCTGCTGGGTCCTCAAGGGGATTCAGTGCCACTGAATGAATGATGAAGGCCAACCCAGGAGGCCCCCGGAGCCAGGGGACATCAAGGTGTCAGCAGCTCTCCCTGCCAGACTCCAGTAGCTTCCCTCTGAACCTACAGGGCCTTAATATGCCCAGGGCAAGACTTCTAAAGCCCTCAACTTTTTGTTGTTGTTGCCTCTCCCATTGCGGAGCACAGGCTCCGGATGCGCAGGCTCAGCGGCCATGGCTCACGGGCCTAGCTGCTCCGCGGCATCTGGGATTTTCCCAGACAGGGGCATGAACCCGTGTCCCCTGCATCGGCAGGCGGACTCTCAACCACTGCGCCACCAGAGAAGCCCAAGCCCTCAACTTTTATTGTACTAAATCACAAAGACTTGCCTCTGAGGCCAAGAAAGAGGTCCTTTTGGACCTCTAGCATCCTCACCACCAGCTGCCGGCTCCTTCTGGCCTGCTCTGCTCAGGTCTGTGCTCACACTTGCAGGGGGTTCCCCAGGTGTCAGTCCCTGCAGAACACCAGAGACCTCATAGCTTTCTTCCCGCATCACACCCCTTCTCAGGCCCGTGTGGCTCTGCCCCACTTCCCCACATCTGGCTTTTGGTGGTTGGGACCAAGGCTCACATTCCTGCCTGCTGAAACCCAGTGTGTTTTTCACGGGGTGGCGCAAAGCCCACTGCAAAGCTCGTCTGGACTCCTGTGCCTCCTCCCAGGCTGTGACGTGTGATTCTTCACTTTAGAGCCACCTGCTGGCTTCCTCCAGACCCCAGACCCAGGGCACATGTGGGAGCAGCAGGCCCCCCTTGTCTTATTGGTCAGCACCTGACACACACAGCAGGCACTCAAACAGTGAGACTGGCCTTGACTTAAGGAACAGTCAGGGGGAAGCTTTGGTCCTGGGCAGATGTGTGGCCTTTGGGACAATCTCTTCTGGGACATCTTTTCCCCAGAGGGAGGGTGCCAGGGTTTCCCTGCACTGCCAAGTACTTTGCCAGGGGAGGCCCACAGCCCACCTCATGCCAGCTTCTATCCACCAGCATGGTGGCCTGTGCCAGGGGTTTATGCCTTAGGAGGGCCCTGTAGGGACTCTAGGCCCCGTGAGAGCCTTGGGCAGTCAGTACATGGGGTGTGACCTAGACTCTGGAGGCCACCCTGGCAGGGTCAAGGGTATATGGTCTTGCCCCTCACTTGCTCTGTTTTTCCTGTCTCCTGTAGATTTGGAAGGCTGGGTCCTTGTCCTCAGAGTGCTCCCTCTCCTACCCCACTTGCATCAGGCCTTGGTTCTAAGTAGGCCCAGGGGAAGGAAACGAACTGGAGTTGAGACCTTGCAATGTAGTTCCTGGAAAACCTCTGCCCAGGGGCTCTCCTGGTCCCCTCCCCTGCCCCTCCTGGGACCCATTGCTTCACCTGGGTGCCCCCTGCCAACACCCTACAGACACCCAGCCCCGCTCCTCTGATATACTCACCCGGGTGTGTGTGTGTGAGTGTCTTACTGTTTCTGTGCTCAGTAACTGTTGATCAAACAAATGTGAGCACTCCTGGCCCCATAAAGGGTTCTGACCTCAGCAGCTCCTTTGATCTTGTGGGCCTCCTGTGATGGTTAATTTTACATCAACCTTTGGGCCATGGGGTGACCAGATATTATTCTGTTTCTGTGAGGATGTTTTTGCATGAAATTAACATGTAAATCAGTAGACTTCAACATTAGACCAAATTAACATTTTAACCAATAAAGCAGATTGCCCTCCATATGTGGGTGGGCATCACTCAAGCAGTTGAAGGCCTGAATAGAACAGAAGACCAACCCTCTGCAGAGTAAGACAGAATTCTCCATCAGTCTGCCTTCAGACATCACCTGCAACATCAGCTCTCCCTGCCTGATGGCCTTTGAATCGAAATATTGGCTCTCTCCAGGTCTCCAGCCTGTCTGCTAGCCTCCATAATTGTGTGAGCCAACTCCTTATAATAAATCTCTTTTGTTTCTATATTCCCTCTTCTATATATATAAGCCACCTCCTACTGGTTGTTTCTCTGGAGAACCCTAATACACTTTCCTAGGAAGCTTCTTCCTCACCCACCCTTGGCCTCACCTGGGTGAGTCGGGGAGACATCTGCCCCCACCAAACCAGGAGGCATAGAGGGTGCTGAGGCTGATGCCCCTCCCACAGCAGGGCCTGCCAAGCCCAGCTTCCAGTGCCAGCTTCCAGTCATGCCTCTAGTGACTGAGGCCCCAGAAGCCCCCTCCCCCTCTGCTCATTGGAGACTCAGCCCCACCAGCCAGACTGGCTGCGTTGGAATGCAGGGCTCTGGGCCTGTGGGCTGCTGGCTCAGCCTTCAGTGTTACATCGGACAGCAATGACCCTCTGGCACAGGTCTGGGCCTCCCTCCACAGGTGGTGACAAAGTTAGAAGTCAGGACACTGGGGCTGAAAACGAATTTATTTAACCTGAAAAGTCAGAGACAGAAATGACAGCATCTGTTGGTTGGACCAGGAATGGGAGATGATGGCCTGAGTGTATTGGGGCCTCGGGCGTTCAACCATCTGAGGAGCCCTTTTCTCAAATGTCACGCTGGCCAAGAACCATGGGCCCTTTTGCTGGATTCCAGGGACCCTCTGGCCCTTCCCACACTGAGGAAGGAGTGCAGAGTGGAGAAAGGGCAGGAGTGGGATCAAGCTCTCTCCTTGGCTGGGCCTTCATGGTTGGGGTGGGGTGGGTCAGGGGGGACCTTGACCTTTGTACTCAAGCCCAAGCCAGCTGACACTGGGTGCTGAAGCCCCCCAAGCCCTGGAGGAAGGTGGTCCTGACCTGGTTTGGGGGCAGAGGAAGGGGGAGGCTTAGGTCAGAGAATCCTTCCTTGTTCTGGACCAGGACACACTTGGGGACCATGGAGGTTCCCACTGGGAAGTGATGTGCCCCCTCCCTGGCTACAGCTCCACTGACCCAAGTGGATCAGAGCCACGGGGGATGTGAGGACATCCTGTGAGGCCTGGGGCTAGACACTCCCAGCACAGAGCTCCGAGCCCAGGAGGAAAAGGCAGAGAGTGGCCTGCGGGCAGGTTGGACACCTCAGTCCTTCTTGCCTGCCGGGGCCATGCTGCGGGGCAGCAGCTTGGAGTGGCCAGAAGGGGCCAGTAAGGTGCCGGGAGGGGAGTCCAGCTTCACCTTGTCCAGGATGGTCTTCTTGATGGCAGCTGGTGAGACCTTCTCCCGGTCGGCCACGGACTGCAGCTCTCTGGGGAGACAGCGAGGAGGGCTGTGTCCAGGGCTCCGCCTCCTTCCGAGCCCAGGGGTCCAAGTGGAAGTGGCAAGAAGTGCACAGCTCCCAGCACCTGCCAGCCTAGGGTGCTGCTGTGCTGTCACTGCCACCTTAGGGCCTTTGCCCCTGCACTTCCCGCCACCAGCTACCTCTCCCCTAGATTGCCGTTCAGTGGCCTCTCACCTCATTCAAGCAAGCTCAGGGTCACCGAATCTACCAGCAGCCCCCCAGACACTGAGCCCTCATGGCCCTGAGCACGGGACACATGCCTCATCTGTCTCCCCTGCAGGTTGGTGCCAGGAGAGCAGCATTACGTTCTAGCCTCACTGTCAGGCAGTGGCAGAGAAGCCTGTGGGCTTGGACTGGAGGGCAGGTAGGGTGGTGAGAAAGAGCCCTGTCCATCCTGGAGGCCTGTCCATCCCCTGCTCCTTGGATTTCTTTCAGCTCTCATGTGCTGTCGTTGTGCCAGCGCATCCTGTGCTTCTAACTCTCTCTGTCTCCCCGGCAAGGCCAAGAGGAATGTGTTATCATCAGCCCCACAGAGGTTCCCCCTGGTCTGCCTCCCTGGCTTGGATGACCACCCCAGTCTGAAGGCCACAAGTGATGAAATCACGTGCGGAGCCCAGCGTGGGCCCAGAGGGCCCCTCTTCACAGGATGATGGAGAGTGGTGAGGGATGCTGCACACCGCCACCCCAGGGAACCTCAGGGCTCCCCGCACCCTACCCGCTGGTAGGCCAGAGCTTGATAAACATCTGGTGAGTGAATGTTTGAGTGAGCAGGCAGCAGCGGGGGCCCACCGTGTGCGGATGCAAGAGGCCTCCACGGCATTGATGAGCAGGGAGCGAAAGCCCCCGCTCTCCAGCACGTGCAAGGCGTGGATGGTGGCCCCACCGGGAGAGCAGACGTTGTCCTTGAGCTGGCCTGGGTGCTGTTCGGAGTCCAGTAGCATCTTAGCGGCCCCCTGAAGCCAGAGAGGGGGGCTGAAGGTTGTGAGGGTACTGCTTCCAGCCCCAACCAATGCAGCACCCACTGACTCTCCACCCATCCACCCTAGAGCACCAGTCTTGGTCCTGGTAAGGAGTGGCCCCCACCAGAGGGTCAGGAAGAACACTAACCAGCAAAGCCTGGGCCCCGAGGCGGACTGCCAGGCGCCTTGGAAGCCCCATCTTCACACCCCCATCAGCCAGTGCATCCAGGGCTGTGAATGCCTGCAGAGAGAAAGCACCTAAGCTGCTGTCCCAGGCCTTTCCTCCATTTCCTCTAGGCAGTGGTTAGTCCAGCAGCTCTGCCCGCAGGGGCCCAGAGCAAGGAGGAGGGTGGAAGATGGGCAGACATGCCCTGAGATCCTGGGGACTGCCTACTGCCCCCGCTCCTCCCCAGTCCTCACATAAGCTGGGCCGCTGCCGCTGAGTCCCGTGACAGCATCAATCAGGTCCTCCTCCACCTCCGTGCAAAAGCCCACACTGCTCATGAGCTGCTCCAGGAGCCTGCCATCCTCCACCTGGGCGTGGGTGCCCGTGGCATACACAGTGGCTCCTTCCCGCACTACGACCGGCGTGTTGGTCATGCAGCGGATGACTTTGGGGGCCGGCTGGAAGGCTGTCAGCTTCTGGGGGAGAAACTGGCTGTGTGTCCATCCCAGCCCCTTGCCCAGCATGCTGTGCTGGGTGCGGGTGTGAACATGCTCACCCAACTGAACGCTTCCTGAGTTCTGTGAGCTATACAAACACACCCATTCCAAAGATGGAGAACCAGGTGTGGAGCACGCCAGGGCTCCTGAGCCCTCTGCAGTGCACACCTCCACCCCATCTCCAGACCCCGCCGGACCCTGACCCGTAGTGCCCACCTTCTCGATGGAACTGATGGTAACGCCAGCTGCACAGGACACCACGATGTGCCGATCCTCAATGTCGGCGGCAATCTCATCCAGGATGAAAGGAATAATGTGTGGTTTCACCGCCAGGAAGAGCACATCACTGTGCTGCACAGTCTCCTTGTTGTGGGGCGTCAGGTTCACCCCCATCTTCTGCAGGGAGCGCCAAGGCGAGCTCAGCCTGCTGTATGTGGCTGGCTGGCCCCCTTAGTAACCCCCCGCAGGCCGAGAGCCCCTCGTGTAGAACAGCACAGAGGATGATGGGAACGTGGGCATGGCAGGGCTGGGGGCTCAAGGCATGGGGCTCTGACACCATCTAACTGCCCTTCCCACCCAAAAGTGGAGGAAGCATCCTGATCTGGAAGGGCAGACAAGCGAAACTGCATCCAAACCAAAGTCCCAGCCCACCCCACCTAGGGCTGCAGCCCCCAAACCCCTGACCACCTCGTCAAGTGCGAGTGGTGGTGTGGATAGTGGTCTCAAGCTGGTAGCCTGCCCCCACCCTTGGACATGGAGCCCTCACTCAGCTATGGCAAACTGAAACTGTATTCAGCCCCCAGGTGGTCTCTCCTGGCCCCCATACTGTGATCCCCTGTGGTGGTCCACTTGGGGAACCCCATTCCTGACCACCAGTGGCACATGTGCCGGTCACCAAGTTCCCAAAAGCATAGGGAGGGGACCCATCTGCAGGCCAGGAGGCAGGGTCTTTTAGATACTCCAGCCCAGGGACCCTCTTCTCATTGGCGTGGGGGACTGTGGCATGGTGCCTCCCTCTGGGGCCGCTACTCCTGGCCTTCCAGGGTCAAGGCTATCACACACTGGCCTCTAGAAATACTGACTGGTCACCCTCCACCCTGCACCTACCCTGAGGGCAGAAACAGTGGCCAGGTCCATGTCTGGGGAGCTGGCCATTATCTTGTGGGCAGCCAGGACACCTGTGAGAGACAGAGTTCCTCCCTCAAGGCCAGTCTTGGCGTCCCTCCACCACATCCTCAGGAAGAACAGAAATCGCACCACCCAGGGTAAGACAGCAACCCCTGCCTTACCCCAAACCTTCCAAGGCTACCGTTTCCCACAGTGCTCAAATGAGGCACGTTAATGCAGACTCCACCCTCACCTCCCAGCCTGGGGAAGAGTAACTGGCCCACCCTCTCACGCTTGGCCCCTTCCTGGCCGCAGCACCTACCGGCTGCTGTGAAGCCCTTGGCCAGGGCAAAGGCCAGCTGGCCAGCCCCGATGAAGCCCACGCTCATGGTGTCTGGAGGCCTGCGCCCACTGCCCTCACAGCTGGCACCGTCTCCGCAGGAGCAGCTGCGGGAAGATGGGGCAGAATCCAGAACAAGAAGTTAGGCGGGCAGTGCCAGGCTTGACTACTCCACCGCCGACCGGTGACCCCCATCCCAGCGGGTCTAACTCTCCCCCGCTCCGGTGCCCCCGCCCACCGCAGCGTCCCGACCTGCTCCTGCAGGTCCCAGACGGGGCAGAGAGGGGTGAGCCAGCCTCCGGAAAGGGTCGGGAAGACGCATGGGGTAAGGGGACGCCCCCACGCCCGAGTCCCCTCCCCACGCCCGAATCCCCTCCCCACGCCCACGCTCCCCCAGGTCCGAGCACCCCCGACGCCGGAGTCGAGTGCGCGGACTTGCATTTCCCCCTGCCCGGCGGCACCACCGCCCGCCCGAGCCGAACCCCGACCCACAGCTTGGCTCCCAATTACCCAGTTACTCGGTGCGAGTCTCCCCCTGTCCGCAGCTGCGCGCCCGCCACGCGGCACCCAGCGCCGGGGGCCCCCCGCCCCAGCCAATCCGCGGCGCGGCCGCCCTGGAACCGGCCAATCTGGGGGCGCGGGAGGCGCCGAGGGGCAGTTGCATCATCCGCTCACCCCCGCCCCCTCCCGCTGGGTCCAGTCGCCCCCGCACTCCCGAACCTGTGCCTTCAGTCCCGGCCCCAGCGCACCGAAACCTTCGCCGCCCCCACCCCCATCCCCCGGGACCGCGCCTGAGGACTGAGGGCACCGGGGGAGGGGCGGCAGGAGCCGGGCCCTCAAAGAGTGGCCCTGGGCTAGGGCTCCTCTCTCGGGGCCCTGTCGTTGGACATGGACACGGACACGTCAGGCTGGCGTCCGTGATGCCGTGGCCCTCACTCGGGTTTGGAAACTGGCGACATAGCCCGGACCTTCTCAGAATCTCAAAGCGGGGAGGCATCTGGGAGGTCTAGGTCGGTCCCCCTGAGATCTGGACCCCCTCCTTCCCACCTGGGGTTTCTGCTCTCCAAGTCTCTTCTAAGGCTCAGGCGCCCTTTGAAAACTGCATGACACTGGGGGCCACTGGCCTGTTACCACGTGAACCTCCTCAAACAGGCTCTCAGGGTGGGTGGTGGTCAACCAGTAGATAGAGGAAGATGACCCCCTAGTGCCCCCAGTTTCCACGGAGCACCCATGTCTCCTGACATCTCATGTGAAGGGTCCGTGGGATTTTTTGACCCTAGGTTTTCCGAAGAAAAAAGCTCTAGTCATCTCCCCGAGGACGCGCTCAGGGCTCGTCTGAGCTGAGTCTGCATTTGGGTTTCAGGATAGTCTGGGGTCCCAGTCAGCAGCAGGGTTAAGGGCAAAGTAAGAAGCATCATCATTGACATCCCATCCCCCCACCAGGGGAGGGGGTGGGGGTGCTTTATTTTTTCGGTTCTGTATCTTAAATGACGACAAACTGTTCTGAAATGTAATTTCAGTGTTACTTGGATGATCGTGCCGCAGAAGCAGGGCTGTGAGTTCTCCTTGACATAATAATGACCAACATCAACACCACCAGACCACTGTAGTGAGCGTGTGTACGCGGCAGATGTCCAGGCCTCCTCGTATGTTTATTCTGGTGTTCAGTCCTCACCCTCTGAGGGAGGAGCTATAGTAAGATCCGGTCCAAAGTGGACTGTTCAGGGAGTGGCCCAGACTCAAACCCATAGACGCAAACTTGGGGGTCCCACTCCATTTTAACTGACTGTATATAATCAGAGAACAGAGTTCATCCTTTAAAAAGTATTGTTTCTCAAGTGACGACGACAAATAACTCCTTCCTCCAAAGAGCAAGAGTCCTCTGATCCGGGGAGAGAATGGCATGAAGACAATCCCCAGGGCAGCCTCCCGGAGGCCAGTCGACATCTGCCATGCTTATCTTGAGCCCTGGAACCCCTTGCCTCCTCTCTCTCCCCCTCAGGATCTTTGAAACTTAGGCTGGGTGGAGCTCTGGGGGCAGAAGTCCATAGGACAGTGAGGAAATTGGAAGTTGGTGACAGAGAACTCATTTCAGAAATTTGATCAGAAAAGGAAGACTGTCTAGGCCTCCCTGTGAGCTGGGAAGGGTGTGGCCCATATGCTCCTTTGTCACTTGGTAACACACTCCCAACCCCCGCCCTCCCTCAGCCAGCAGGGCCCTCAGGACGCCTCAGGACACAGGGGTCCCTGCCCCCTCAGGGATCTGCTGCTGAAGACGGGCCTCTCCAGGTAAAGGACCCCTGTGCGTGTGCCCTCCCCAGCGGGCGGGCGGGCCACTTCTCTCACACTGTGCATGGTGCCAGCACAGGGAGCCCTTGGACCCCGTGCCTAACAGCTGCTTGGGCTCTGCTGCCACGGGTGTAGCAGCCCCTCTGCCCACTGCTATGCCCAGGGCCCTTGGAAACCCCAGCGGTGGTGGTGAGTGCCGAGAGCTCCCCACCCCCATCCTCCCCTTGCTGTCACCCACCTGGGGAGAGGACACTACTTCCTCGGGAGGCCACTCTTACCCCCAGAGTGCCCCAGCCCTCCCGCAGCTGCCTCCTTCCTCAGCCAAGCCCAGTCTAGGCTCTTCTCTGGGAACATGCTGGTGGATGACCCAGGAGGGACAGCTGGCCACCACCCGCTCTGGCTACCACCCCCTAAGCAGAAACTTCTCCGTGCAGATCAGCGTTGGTGTTTAGTTCCTGCTCAAGGCCAGGGGCCCGTCTATGGGCTGAGCGGCTGCTGTGCTTCGGCAGCTAGTGCGCTGCTCTGGGCTGGCCCAGTCTGGGTTCTTGAGTGGGAGAAGCTCCCTGGAGTGTGGAGGACAATGGCCCCAGCAGGCCCTCGTGGTTGGCAGCCAGGCAAATGAACACTTGAACAGAGGTGGTGGGCCTGTGAGCACCAGGGTGATGCCTGGTGCCCAGGCTCCATGCCCCAGTGGCTGCCCCAGGCTGGTCCTCCCCTGGGTCAGGGCTGCCCTAGGCCAGCCCCCCGGGGCCCATGGCAGGCACTGCAGAAGCTGCCGCATCGGGGCAGACAGCAGGGGCCCAGTGGTGGCTCCCTGCCTGGGTGGGAACCCAGCTTCTCCTTAGCATGCTGTGCTCTTGTCAGTGTTGCCGCCCCATGGATCCCTCCAAGCCTGCACTGTCTCCAGCATGATGAGGCTGCCCTGTGTGACCACACCAGAGTCCTTGCTCAGCTTCCAAAGCTGTGGCCGCTCAGAGGCGGCAAGGCGGGGTCCTGATTCCCAGCTCCTCCTCGAGTTGGCACAGATGCCCCAGCAGGGCCCTGCTTGGATAGCTGTCCTTCCAGGGCTCCAGGAACTGCCCCTTCAAGGCTAGAGGAAGCGCAGGCTCACCACGCTCCTTTTTCACACTACTTAGTTTACTCAGCCCAGATGTGGTCTCCAGACGTTTATGGACGCTTGGGGCCAACTTCTTAATCCTAGCCTCAGGGTCCCCATCTGCAAAGTGGGTCACAACAGCACCTGCTTCAAAGTCTTCTCGTGTGTTACAGTGGCCAGCACGGAGGCAGGGTGTGCCAGCAAATGAAGAGAGATGGAGAGAGACAGAGACAAAGACAGATAGACGGGGAGAGAGAGGGGCTGGGAGCTGCCTGGCAGACTCCTTCCCCGTGACCTGTTCTGTCCCCCCTCTGCCCCTCCCTGAGATGAGCTGCTGAGCACTGCCAGAAGCCCAGTCATGGCTCTACTGGCTGCCTCCCTCTGGCTTGTCCCTGGAAGTCTGGGCTCACCTGGGTCCCCTCATGGTGCCTGAGCCCTGGAGAGCAGAGGTGGGTGGGCCACTGCCTGTTGGGCTACAAGGTAGGCACGAAGCGGATCCTCTGGGAGTAAGCCAGGTCGGCGACGTAGAGGAGCAGGTTGACATAGGTGAAGGTGGCCACCACCAGCTGGCTGTCCCAGGTGCAGCTGCCCCTCAGGCAGTCGGGGGGGCGCCTAGGCTCACCGTACTTGGGGTCGAAGCAGAAGACAGGCCAGATCACTGCAGCACTGAGGTAGAGGAGCACAGCCAGGAAGGTATACACCACCACTACACGGTCGAAGGGGCAGCCCAGGCCCCCCGTGTGGCCCATCACGCTCAGGGCCACCACGACCACTGTGGCAAGGAAGCACAGGCTGTAGACGGCCACACACCACTGGGTGGCCACGTAGCGCCCGTAGCGGCTGTCGTGGACCAGTGCCCCAAATATGATGCAGGCCACAAAGGCCTGGACGATCTTGAGGAGTCCCGACACCGTGGCCATGTAGCTGGCCACCTGACCTGGCCGGGCCCGTGTCAGGGCCACCTCCGTGGCATAGGCCAGGAAGAGGAGCCCGGCGAAGATGCTGGCTGCTAGGCGGAAGTTCCTGGCTGTGCAGCCTGCGGGCTCGGGTAGGCACTCCAGCTGGGTGAAGTACAGTGGGTAGATGACCGCAGCTGTGGCGGATAGCAGCGTGGCCAGCATGGCGAAGGCTGCTGTGAAGTTTCCCCAGGACAGGTGCAGGCAGCTGTGCAGCCGGGTGAACTCACAAGCCACCACCAGGACCGAGAGCGCGAAGCAGAAGCCCCAGGCGGCCATGCAGAAGGTGCCCTGGACGCCATCGAAGCCACCCCGGTGGGCCACCAGGCTGAAGGTGGTGCAGCCAAAGGCCAGCTGCAGCACGCGGGCCGTGCCCACAGGCGATGTCACAGCGCCCAGGTGCAGGTACCCACCCCCGGGGGGCTCCATGGTGCTGCCCATGTGGCCGGCCGAGTCTCTGCTTCACACAGTGCCTGGTGGCCCCGGAGCCTGCGGCAGCGGCAGATGCCAGCAGCCTGCAGTGGCAGTGACGCTGGTGACATTGCAGCAGAGCAGCCTCTCCACCGCCTGTGTGGGGAGGGCCGAGGCCCCCCCCAGCTCTATAAATAGGTGACCGTGATCAGAGCCCAGGAATAGCAGCTTGCGTTCCTGTGCCTGTCCCTATCCAGGAGGGACATCTGACCCTTGTGATCCATCGAGCCCCTGCCAGGACCATTAACTCCTTGGCTGCTGGCACCACCCCCACCTCCAAAGCACCTGCTTCTGTCGGTCAGTCGGTGCCACTGCCCTTGGGGGAGGGGGAGGGAGAAGAGCAGAGAGGACCAGGCAACCCAGCTCCAGCAGCTTCAAGGGGGAGGGGCACAGGGAGGAGAGGGCGGCAGTGGGGGATCTGGGAGCCCTGCAGGGCTCGGTTCAGAGCTGGGATGGTTTCAGGACCCCATTGTCATTGTCCCTTGGCCCACACTCAGCTCTGATTCCTGGGAGGTGGTGGGAGAGGGGAGTGGAGATCCTGTGCCCCCTCCCAAAGGTGCCCACCCTCATTCTTCTCACATCCCCCAGCCTGACCTGGGGGAGTTAAGTTTTAGTTATTATTTGGGGGAATCATAATGGAGCACTTTACTTGTCCCTCCTAGATATGTAAACACCTAGGAAAAACTCAACTCTCCCAGTTTTAGTCTAAAATATTAAAAATATATGAAATGTTTTTGAAAAGAAAAAGAAATTTTTCTGACTGTAAAAGTAGTACATGCTCAGGCCCAATCAGCACAGAAAGAGAAGAAAGATTGCCAGCGATTAATCTGCCAGTGATTAATCTGCCTGTAATTCTAGCTCCTAGATTCAACCCCTGTGAACATCCCGTGTATACAGTTGGCCCTCTGTATCCACAGGTTCCCTATCCACGGATTCAACCAACAGCAGATTGAAAATATTGGGGGAAAAAAATTCCAGAATGTTCCAAAAACCAAAGCTTGAATTTGGCATGAGCCAGGAACTATTTACATAGCATTGACTTTCTATTAGGTATTATAAGTCATCTAGAGATAAGTTAAAGTATATGGGAGGGGAATTCCCTGGCAGTCCAGTGGTTAGGACTTGGGACTTTCACTGCTGTGTCCCTAGGTTCAATCCCTGGTCGGGTGACTAAGATCCCACAAGCCGAGCAATTTGACCAATAAATAAATAAATAAATAAATAAATAAATATAAAGTGTACGGGAGGATGTGCATAAGTTATACACAAATACTATGCCACTTTATACAAGGGACTTGGGCATCAGTGGATTTTGGTATCCTAGGGGGTCCTGGAACCAATCCCCTTTGACACTATATATATAGCCTTATGTGTATTTCCCCCAACTTTTCATTTAGGAAAATTTCAAATTTACAGAAGAGTTGCAAAATAGCACAATGAACACTCATATATCTTTCACCCAGATTTAAGAATTATTAATATTTTGGGACTTGCCTGGTGGTCCAGTGGTTAAGACTCCGTGCTTCCACTGCAGGGGACGCAGGGTTCAATCCCTGGTCAGGGGAGTTCCACATGCCGCAGGCTGCAGCCAAAAAAAAAAGAATAATTAATACTTTGCCCTGTTTGTGCTCTCTCTCCCCCCCATAAATAATTAATAACAACATTAATTAATTCTGGAGATATGACAATTCTCCCCTAGATACTTCCACGGACACCTCCTAAAAGCAAGGCCGTTTTCCTACAGAACCTGAACACAGCGACCACACTTGGGAAATTGACGAATGATCACCTAATATACAGTCCTGCAGTTTTTCCCCACCTGCCCCCAAACTACACTTTATAGCATTTTTAATTTTTGCACCAGGATCTGATTGGAATTATACATTGCATTTGGCTGTCATGTCTCTCATTTTCCTTTATTCTGGAATAGTCTCTGCTTTTTTAATATTTCATAACACTGAATTTTTTGAAGTGTCCCAGCCAGCGGCCTCTAGAGCCCGCGAGCCACAACTACTGAGCCCGTGTGCCACAGCTACTGAAGCCTGCGCACCTAGAGCCCGTGCTATGTAACAAGAGAAGCCACTGCAATGAGAGGCACACGCACTGCAATGAAGAGGAGCCCCCGCTCTCCACAGCTAGAGAAAGCCCACATGCGGCAATAAAGACCCAACACAACCAAAAATAAATAAAAATGATTCTTTAAAAAAAAATAATAATAAATAATTTAAAAATTATCAGCTCCTTCTCTGAAAGAGGCCGTGAGAATCTGAGAACAAATCACAACAAAATCATCTTTCCTTGCTTTGCCATTCTAGCTCTGCCAGCCCACAGGGCCCAGGGTAGCTCGGGGTCCCCACCACGGTCTGGGCGGCTGCTTCATGGCTGGACAATGGCGAGGCTTCCTGGACCCTGCCATAGGCTATGCTCCCAATTCTAGACACCAACTCCCAGCTGCTTGGCCACTGGGCTACTTGGTGACAATGTCTTCTGCTCGTGAGCTTTTGCTAACGTGTTACAATTACAGAAACAGAGCGATTCTAAATTGACAGCTTCCCACAGCGTGGAAATATCAACAAAGTAAATTTGGCTGGAAATCACTTAAAGTTCATCAGTAGGGATTGGGGAGTAAACTTGAGCACATCCACATGAGGGACACTTAGGATGCCCTGAAGTCGCCTCATAGAAGATCAGGTAACGTGGTGGGAGATCACAAGGGCAGCGATCTGCGTGAAGACAAAAGGACCTGTGGGCACATGTGCCTCTGAAGAGAGAGAAAGGCTGAGTAAAAGCCTGAGATGCCCCACTGTCACGTCCGAGGCGCAGGGCAGCAGGTGCTTTGGCTCTCCTTTGGGTTTTCAGTGTTTTCCAGTTTTAAAATGAATAGGTACTACTTCCTAAACCAGAAAAAAAGAATAATTAAAAAAAAAAAAATGAAGTAGGGCTTCCCTGGTGGCTCAGTGGTTAAGAATCCGCCTGCCAGTGCAGGGGACACGGGTTCGAGCTCTGGTCCGGGAAGATCCCTCATGCCGCAGAGCAACTAAGCCCGTGTGCCACAACTACTGAGCCTGCGCTCTAGAGCTGGAGAGCCACAACTACTGAAGCCCGCGCGCCTAGAGCCCTTGCTCCGCAACAAGAGAAGCCACCGCAGTGAGAAGCCCATGCACCACAACAAAGAGTAGCCCTGTCTTGCAGCAACTAGAGAAAGCCCCCGCACAGCAACAAAGACCCAACCCAGCCAAAAATAAATAAATAAAATAAATAATTTTAAAATAAATAAATGAAAAATAAAAAAATAATAAATGAAGTATAAATAGGTTTATATTCTTGTATGAATACAAAACTTGCTTTAAAAAATAAAATAAAAAATAAAAATAAAAATTGAAAACAGGACTTCCCTGGCGGTCCAGTGGTTAAGACTCTGAGTTTCCACTGCAGGCGGCACGGGTTTAGTCCCTGGTCGGGGAACTAAAATCCTGCGTGCTGCACAGTGTGACCAAAAAAGTAAAAAAGATTAAAAAAAAATACCTTCCTTTTACAAAATTTTTAAATAGACTTTATTTTCTAGAACAGCTGTAGATGCAAAAAGAAACTGCACTGATAGAGCTCCCATATACCTCATATCCAGTGTGTTCTATTGGGAACACCTTTTTTTTTTTTTTTTTTAAATTCTCTTTATTATTTTATTTGGCTGTGCCACGCAGACTGCGGGATCTTAGTTCCCCAGCCAGGGATTGAACCTGGGTCCCCTGCAGTGGAAGCGTGGAGTCTTAACCGCTGGACCACCAGGGAATTCCCCTATTGGGAACATCCTATGGGACATGTTACAATTAATGAGCCAATATTGATAAATCATTATTAATACACTATTATTAAGCAAAGTGAATACTTTATTCAGGTTTCCCCAGTTTTAACATCATGCCCTCCTGCTGCTCCAGGACTTGTCAAGGACCCCACGTGGGATATTTAGTCACCACATCTCCTCTGGCTGCTCTTGGCCAGGACGGTCTCTCAGACTTTCCTGGTTTGAACGACCCCGACGGTTTGAAGGAGGGCTGGGCAAGGAGGTGCGGACTGTCCCTCTGCTAGTTTGTTTGATGTCTTTCTCATTATTAGTCTGGGCTTGTGGGTTTGGGGGAGGAAGACCACAGAGGGAAAGTGCCCTTCTTACATCCCTTCAGGGCCTGTGCTCTCAACATGACTCCTCACCGTGGCTGTGCCCTTGGTCACTTGGCTGAGGTGTGTCTGTCAGGTGTCTCTACTGGGGAGTTCCTCTTTCTCCCCCTTTCCATCCTGTTCTCTCTGGGGGCGGGATGTCACCATGCATGGCCCACACTTAAGGGGGGTGTATGCTTCCCCTCCTTGAGGGGACAGTATCGACATAAATTATTTGGAACTCTGCAAAGAGATTTCTTTTTTCTCCCCCACTTAATTTATTTTATTTTAATTTATTTATAAATTTATTTAATTAATTAATTAATTTATAAATAATTTATAATTTATTTATTATTTTATTTTATTTTATACTTTATACATTTATTTTATACTTTGAGTTATAGTCCAAAACGATATTTTTTTATTCTGTTGCTCAAAGCCTTCCATGTGTCCCCTTATGTACCCCCATCAATGGGGGTGGGGTTTTCGGCACCTCCTCACTGCAGGCACTGCAAGATGCCCGGGGCTCATCCTGCACGTTTCCTGCTAGGTGTTTTCCAAGGAGCCCTGGTTCCTGTTATTGGAGATGGTGTAAGAGACTAAGATCTGGGTGCCAGGTGTGCTCATTGCTGCTGGAGTGAACTTTCACACATTGTAACAAGTATTTGTATGTACAAATAAAGCAATGTTATTCAAAATGTATTTAAAGAATTTTCCTAAAAGGGCCTGCAAAGGTCATTAAAACTAGGTAGTACACATATATCAGGTTTTACCAAAACCTCTGGGTTTCTTCTCTTCACGTCTCCTTGTGGCTTTAAAATTTCCAGTAGTGTGTTATTACTTTTTGTTTCTATTCCTTCTGATTAATGTTTTCATTCACTAAACAAGTTCTTCTGCAGTAGCTGCTGAGTGCCAGGCCTCGTTCTAGGCGCTGAGAAACAGCAAAGAACAAGGGAGACCAGAGTCTTTGTCCTCTTGGAGCTGCTGTTTACACCACGTCACGTCAAGGGTCCGTGCTCTCAACACGGCTCATATCAAAACTGAGCAGAGAGCACTGAGAGTCCTGTATACTCCCTGCCCTTAACCGGGCACAGCCTGCCCATTATCTACATCCCCACCAGAGTGATACACCATTGACTTTTTACCATCGATGAACCTACACTGATCTGTCAGCATCACCCAGAGTCTACAGTTTACATCAGGATTCACTCTTGGTTTTGTACCTTCTATGAATTTGGACAAATGTGTAATGACATGTACCCACCATATGGTGGGACCGTACAGAGTTGTTTCTCTGCCCTAAGAATCCTCTGTGCTCCACCTAGTCAGCCCCATCCTCACCCCTGGCAACGAGCGATCTTTTTACTGTCCCCATAGTTTTGCCTTTTCTAGAATGTCATAGAGTTGGAATCACACCATATGTAGCCTTTTCTGATTGGCTTCCTTCACTTAATAATATGCATTTAAGGTTCCTCCAGCCTTTTCATGGCTTGAGAGCTCATTTCTTCTTAGTGCTGAGTAACGGTCCATTGTCTGGATGGACTGCAGTTTATTTACCCGTTCATCTACTGAAAAGAAATCTTGGTCGCTTCTGTCCTGAGCATTTTTGCTGCTACGGGAAGCCTGTGATGTGGAAAATGTAAAGCAGCAACATTTCTAGAAAAGTTGGGGACTTCCTGGTGGTCCAGTGGTTAAGAATTTGAGCTTCCACTGCAGGGGGCACAAGTTCGATCCCTGGTCAGGGAATTTAGATCCTGCATGCCGCGTGGCACGGACAAAAAATAGAAAAAGAGAAGTCGGGAAGTCAGTGTGTCACATCGATGGCTCACTGAGCACTGCAGGTTTGGCGTCACCCGCTGTCCTTACGGGTCCTGGGCTCATTTTGCCACTAGTCCCCAAGGTAAAGCACAGAGGCCGGAGGTAGGCCTTTCTCCCATGTTCCTTCTTTGTCAG